AACACATGAATTAAAAAAAACCTGTACAGGCTGTTTAGTACTAATATACATGAAATGAAACTCGATTACACATTTATTTCATACTAGCATTGCCCGCGGCTCCGCTCGCGTTCAGATGACTAAAAACCAAATTCTTAGGTTTTACATATTAGTATACTCTTACATTACAGTTTTTATATTTTTTCTCTTAAATGAGATATTTCCCGTGGTAAAAAGTATCCTATATGTTGACCCGGATAACCAGCCATCACCATACCAAATTTCATTAAAATCCCTCAAGTGGTTTTTCTGTGATGCGGTAACAGACAGACAGACAAAAATTCTAAACACTATTCAATATGATTTTCCAAAAAATATTTAATGTACAGATTCGGCTTAGTTACAATTTTATTATACGTATAGATTAAACATCATTTCCAATACAAGTATAACCCAAGGGTCTGGGTTTAATATTCAAATGCGCACCCGTAAAGCGCCTGCCACTTCGAATTTACCTTATTTATATATAGTCTAAACAGTTAGTTTCTATCATTGTTGCGAACTCGCGTTTCATTTAATTATGCATTTTTTAGTTGATCTTAATCTGAGGAGACGGATATTTGTATATTTCGAGTTGCATTATAGTTGTTTCATTAACGTCAGTACAAATAATATAAGCTTCACTCTCTAGAAAATGATTTGCATATGAAAATATCAAAGGTTCAAGACTTAGGGTTTGAACCAAATTCACTGGGTTTTCCAAGCGAGTGATTTCTTTTTATATAAAAAATAAAAATTAACAATAAAAAAAAAAACATTTTAAGCCCAAAACATTATTTACCTTCTTGTTAATATTATAAACTACTAAATTTACTTACAAACACATTTAATAAAATACATAACAAAGGTCTTATTACAACATTATCGTGTAAGTACCTAAAATGCTAGAAATTTTCAAGGGCCAGATTCATCCTGCTACCTACAAAAGTAGTTGTTTATTTAAAACCTTAAATTTTCACTGAAGCTGGCAGATGTTAAAAACTGCACGATATTTTTAATTAACTAGCAAACCTAGCTTTGGCCCTAGCTTTGTACTAATCACTAATGGCCTTTTGCCGTAACTTAATTTTCCATACGAAGGACTTCATGTGGTTAAAAGACATTGCTAGTTACCATCTCACGCCTACAAGCTATTTATAAACAAAAAAAAACCGTGTGTATAATTATGTACGCACGTAAGATGTTATACCTACTACTTTGGAGTAACAGAAGAAAAATAGTTAAAAATTTCATCCCGTATGTCACAACTCTTTGTTTGTAAAAGGAACGCAGCTAACTTCATCATGTCGCTCTTTGGCTGTCGGTGTGGGCGCGCATCGTAAATATTTTACTCTATTTTTTTTCAAACGTGCCAAAAGAAATAGTATAACTTTAAATATCACGTAAATCTATTTTGTGATAATACGTGAAACGAAAACAAATCAACAAACAAATATGTATTTTGTATTATTAGTATTAACACGGTCGCCATTGCATTAAATTTTTCAGTTATTTATATAGTAAAACAAATTTATAATATCAAGTACTAATTATAGCGCGGCAAATATTACAAACGCCAACAACTGTACAGGATTATTAAGCTTTGCGAATCCCGTCTTTAATGAGGCTTAACATCGATTCCTCGCCCTCCACACAAAGAGAAAATACAAACTTCAACTTAATCTCATCTGGCAGATACTTGGCTTACCTTTGTTCCAAAGCTACGATACAATTTAGAAGATAGTGGACAGTCTAACGCGGGTAAGTTTAATTCGATTGCAGATATCCTAAGTTAAGGCTTAATCTCGCTTAAATTATAAGTGAATCGATTTTTCGTAGTTAAAGTTTTACTTTACAATATATAATCTATACTAATATTATAAAAAGGTAAAGTTTGTGAATTGTGAGTTTGTGAGTTTGTGACGTTGTAGGGGGTAATCTCTGGACCTACAGAACCGATTTAGATAAAATTTGGTAAAAAGATAGTTTGAATCCCTAGGAAGGACATAGGATAGTTTTATCCCGGAAATCATCCTTTATGGGGGTAATTGGGAATGAAAATTTGTAAGAGGAATCAAAGTTTGTATAGGGACGAACCCGAGCGAAACGAGGGTGAGTCGCTAGTAAAATATAAAGAACTAACATTCAATCTATGACAAGAACAATATATAATAAAATATAAATAATTAATATAATGAACGTTCGTATTAGTTTTTTTTCTGATTACGTGTTTATTTGCATATAATTTCTTAATATAATATACGTATTATATTTTAAAATTACACTTTTCTTTCTACTTTTAGTATGGTGAAAAGCTTTTTCACAGAATTCTTGATTTACAACTGTACACAATTTAAAAGAGATTTTTTTTCTTTATGCGTTTTTCTTAGCAGAGAAAGTGAGCATCATTAAGAATTTGTCATCATTAAAAATTGACGTATTGGGAGTAAAATAGATGGTCACTCTCTGTGCCACGTATCAATACATGTATTATTTTTTTTCCTTTTTTTTACATTTTATTTGTTTTTTTTTATATTTTATTGTTACAAGGTTAGATGATTTTTTATTTGCAAAATATAATGAACGTAACAGAACTATCAATCACAACATTACAGTTATAGGATTTAAACGAAAAAATAAAAATTAGGCCTCATACACACAGCCGTATAATAATCCAATCCAATGAATTTGTATATGATTTTCAAGGCTTTGTAAAATAAAATGTCTCAAATACCACGTCTTAGATGTTTAAGGTGGTTATTTGGTGAAGTAAGGCATGAAACTCATTGAGGTGAATGTGAAAACGCAATTAACCACGTTATATGTGTACGTATATGTTTTGTAAGTAGATATAATTACGTATAGAAAATAAAAAGGTTTTAATTCAACGTAGTTATTTATTATCAATAAAATATTTGGTGTAGTTAATGGGTAAGAAGGGTTGCAAATCCAGACCAAATCACTGACCATAAGTAGCAGAAATTTTAACAGTTTATTCCTTCCTATATTGATAATATGTAATGGATAAAAAATAATGTTTAAAATTTAAACTCCTTCATGAATACATTCGTGTAAAAAAAATTATGGGATCAAAAACAGCAGCATACGAATTATTTTCAACATATTTACCACTTGCTTTACCAGTAACATCGTGAGGTACCACATTGCATCTCATTTTTGAGAAAACCTAATTTTTTAAAATTATTCAAATACAATGAATGTACACTGTGAAAAAAAAAATTATTAGAGCTTAAAGCGGAACACTAATTATATTAGTAACATCTTAATATTAAAGTCTGTAAGTTTTTTTTTTTTTTTTTAACGTTGGGAAATGCATTTCCGCACGACGTGTGGGACTCACCGGCGTAATACAGCCAGTACTACCCACTAAAACCCAACAAAACCTTCCCCCGTCTTAATGGGGCGTCGCAGGATCGCTTACGCATTCAACTACGACGCCCCGACGGCAGGTCTGCCAAAGCAGACCACCACAACCTTGGGGTTGCTCCAAGGTCCACTCTGCTATCAGAGAAGTACCAGGAGCAACCCGCATGGTACACCGCCCCCCGAAGAGGGCCACCTCCCACCGCCCACCGAAGTGGGCAACCTCCCTGTGCGTTTCTTAGCTTCGTACTACTACTACTACTGAGCCCCCCCACCACGTGTATTTAACCCCCTACGCAAAACGAAAGGGTGTTATTAGTATGACTCGTCTGTGTGTGTGTTTGTCTGTGGCATCGTAGCTCCCGAACGGATTAACCGATTTTGATTTTGATTTTTTTTTGTTTGAAACCTGAATTAGTCGGGAGTGTTTTTAGTTATGTTTGATAAAAATCAATCCAAGAAGGTCGGAGTTTTTCTAAATTTTTAATTTATCATTTACGGTGGATCTACCCATGCAATTTGCAGGCTCAAACTTATTTATAAATAGCCTTAATGAGTAAATACCAGAGCAACTATCCCCTACAGTTATTGGTTCCAGTAGCATGTCAAGCGCACTGCGGTTGTTATCAGACCGCAAATTCTTGCGCTTGACGTAAACTGTCGCACAAGATATTACTATGTCGATATTGTGAAGCAATTTAAAAATTAGGGATACTATATAATAGCTTTTGAGACGTCAAAAACTTTACTGTTCTCCGTGATCATGTTTGCTGTAAAACGTTCGAAACTCTAAAACAAACCTATACTAGTTTACACTAGCTTAGAGATGAGAGCTCAAAATGGAATAAAAATCGTAAGCTATTACTTTATAAGTTATTCTATTACATATTTAACATAAAGAGCAGTTAGAGCGTTGAGTCATTTATTTGTAATTTAAATAGCCAGTAGTAGACGTTATAATAATTCTCATAATTTTAACTCACCTAGAAGACTTAATAAGCCACTGTGTGAAAATGTAATAAAATTTTCACCAAAGTAGTTATACGGTAGTATTTTACGATCTTATTTTCTCTCTAATTACTTCAAGTAACATACCACAAAACGTAGTGCAGTAATTACAAACGCCGTTTTCTTGTACATTATTCACAAATTATACATTCGCTTAAGTTGTCTTTGTTAAGTGCTATTAAAACGATTATATAACTCATCTAATAAGGCTATTTGCGCCAAACTGTGAATAAAGCTTTAAAATATATTTTATAGGTTAATACACTATGCTCTAAACTTTATAAGAGATGATTCAACTGTTTGTGAAAAGTTTAAGCATCAAGAAATTTTAAACGGAAAAGAATTTTGCAATATCAGGTATGCTTTTATAATACTTATCAAAAGGGGACTATCTTCGAACACTGACTCATTAATTTTGAGGCTTCGCATAATTTGTAAAGAGTTTTCTTTTATTAAAGTTTTAATTACTTATGTTAAACTTCACATTGACATAACAATACTTTGACTTTAATATTTTCAATTAAGTTGATTCTATACAAAACTTTCCAATTGAGTGGCTTCTACGAAAATGTTTTGGCAGCAAAAAGTTATTCGTAGTCTTCGAACTCGTGGCAAGAGCAAGGATCGTCTTTTGCCAACCACTGTTCTGGTATATATTTATGACGTCGTCTTTTCCTTTGTCGATTTTTTGTTATTTTCTCATCAGTGCCAGGATCAGCATTAATAGTAACATGCGAATTTTGAGCTGTTCGTCTATCATTTTCGGTGTCTTTATTACGTTTTCCCAAATATTTTATGAACCTTAATACGTATAATAACAAAAACATGATCGTTCCGTACCCTATTATCTTTTGTAAACATTGTTCCTCAGCCTCCTTGTAAACAAGCATTTTGATAGTAACACCGTTCTAATTTCATATAATTTTCAAATAAGTAAATAAAACTAAAATTTTATTATTATTCCCTTACATTTGTATGATGTCAAAGTGATTTTTCCTGAACAACAATATTACAAACAGTTGTCAATGATATCATATATAAACTTTTCTAAAAAATTAAGCAATCATCTATCTATACATATAATAAAATTGTAACTAAGCTGAATCTGTACATTAAACATTTTTTGCTTAATCTTATTAAAATAGACATTATTATCGATATAGACGCCGAATCTATAGTTTTTAGAATATTTGTCTGTCTGTCTGTCTGTTACCGCATCACAAAAAGACCACAGGAGGGATTTTGATGAAATTTGGTATGGTGATGGCTGGTTATCCGGGTCAACATATAGGTTACTTTTTACCGTGGGAAAATATCTCATTTTTGAGAAAAAATACAAAAACTGCAATGTAAGAGTATATTAATATGTTAAACCTAAGAATTTGGTTATTTGGTTACCTGAACGCGGGCGGAGCCGCGGGCAGTGCTAGTAAACAATATAAATAAAATCGAAATAAGTATTGAAATAATTAAAATTGTTTAATATAATAAACTAGTTTTTGCCCGTGGCTCCACTAACGTAGTTTATTTAGTTTTGATTGCTCCGCTACGAGTTGATGTTCCTCAATAAAATATATAAGTAGACTATTGAATGGAATAAGAATTTTCCCGAGGTAAAATTTGGAAATTTCCGAGATTAGCACGCTCAAACAAACTAAAACAAAAAAAAACAATATCTTCAATTTCATAAAATTAGTACAAATATATTTTTCAGTAAAAGCAGTAATATTTTGAATATAATATGTAGATCTATATTTTTTTACATAATAAAGAGAAAGCGGAGATACGGCGCGTGGCTTTACAGTCCATTGCTCTTCGAAAGGGTGCGACGTTCACATAAAAATGAAGATAATATAGAACGTCTTCAGTACAAAACACCTCACTGCTATGTAACTCAACTAATATTGCTTCAAATAGTTGCTTGGGACATATTTTGTATGAAGGTAACTTGTGATAAGTTTTCAACAACCGCTATTGTACCAAATGCAATTGTCACATGCAGTGACAAACTTTATAACGAAGCTTGATGTGCCATTGCCATTCTGAAACAGCTAACAATTTCACATATTACATTAAATTACATAATATTATATATGTACTAGCATTGCCCGCAGCTCCGCCCGCGTTCAGATTACCAAAAACAATATTCGTAGTATACTCTTACATCGCAGTTTTTGTATTTTTTCTCAGAAATGAGATATTTTTTCGCGGTAAAAAGTATCCTATTTATTGAGCCGGATAACCAGCTACCGTCATACCAAATTTCATCCAAATCCCTCCAGTGTTTTTTCCGTGATGCGGAAACAGACAGACAGACAGGCAGACAGACAGACAGGCAGACAGACAGACAAACATTCTAAAAACTATAGATTCGGCCTCTGTATCGATAATAATGTCTATTTCAATAAGATTTTCCAAAAAATATTTAATGTACAGATTCGGCTTGGTTACAATTTTATTATATGTATAGATATAATAATATATCGACATAAGTTGTGCATGGTTCAGTTGGCAAATGTTCGTTTAGGAAATTTTACTTTAATATCTATATATCTTGATTTCACTATTTGACCTTTAAAGTAATTACATCTTATCCTGTTCATTTTACTAGAAACATTTAATAGCTTTTGCGGTTGGTATAAGAAATGGTGACAAGTCTTTTAAAAATGAAATACAAATATTTTAATTATAGTGGTGATTGAGTACAACTTCGTACTAGGTCGCTGCGGTTTCGATTTAAAAACATACTGCATACATATAAGTATAGTACTCATGTGCGCTTGAATGTTTTTAGAAATAGGTGCCAAATACTTTGTTCTCAAAATTGATCATAAAAATATGAGATAAACTATAAAAAATATTGTACTAGCTACAAGAGATCTTTTTTTGCCGTTTTCAAGGTTTTTTTCGCCGAAAGGACTGATATTACGATTCAATGTACCCTACATTTGCAGTTTATTTATCGCTAACATAACTTTTATATTGTTTCGTAATTATTATCATATGTATATAGAGGTTTGTTTATACATATATTTAGATATTGATTTATATGTGTTAAAATACATGAATTAAAATTGTATGAAATTTGATATGATGATAGCTGGTTATCCGGGTCAACATATAGGATGCTTTTTACTGCGGGAAAAATCTCATCTCTGAGAAATATATACTACAAAACGTATGAATCCGAGAGGAGCGAGGGCGAGTCGCTAGTTTAAATAATATATTACTTATATTTCTATCTATAAATTCAAGTATTTCCTTTAATATTTATCGATAGTATTAAATAATTTACCAGATAAATATTTACATGCTACATATTTTTTTTCGTACAATTAGTAGACGATGTCACGCAATTCGCTTATTATCATTATAACCTGATAAATAAAACAAACACGCTTAATTAACAAGTGTTTTAAACACACCACATCTCATTACGGCAATTCATTATAACCGTAATTACTCATCATTTTAGTCTATCCTTCTATCATTACGAGGTTTTTACTACAAGTATATTCAGGCTTATCCGAATTAATTATAAATGAGCAAGTTTGTAAGTAAGGATGTTTGTTACTCTTGTTTAAGTAAAAAATAGTATCTTATAAAAGTAATTTTGTCTATCAAACCCTGTGTTGGTTTATCTGATTTATAATTTCCCAATATAAGTGTGTTATGTTATTGATTGTATTAAGTTTTAATGATTGAGAAAACATTTTTAACAACAGATTCAATTTCCTATTTGGACAGTTTTGCGATCTTTATTAGTTAATTCTTAATCTTTCTTATTACCTTTAGAAACCACTTCATATATCAGAACAGCAGCGTCCGATAACGCGTTCAATAAACAATATCTTTTATAATATTATAAATGTGAAAGTGTGTTGTTTGTTTGTTTGTCCTTCTTTTACGTCGAAACGTAATGACGGATTGGCGTGATTTTTTGTGTAAAGATAGTTGGAGGGCTGTTGAGTGACATAGACATATTTTTTATCGCGCGAAATTATCTAATTCTCACGGGAAAACATGTTATAGTACAATCCAAAAAAAAATTATGATCAATATTACTTGAAACTCGGTATTAATGTTCTTTAATAAAATTAAATAAATACGTATTTTAGCATTTTTCAAAATTCTTCCTATAAGGGGGTAAAATAGGGGATGAAATTTTGTATGAAACTAACTTTTTAGAGATTTTTTTGTAGTTTTAGCGCAACGAAGTCGCGGGTTCTGCTAGTCTTTTATAAAAATAACTTCAGCTTGTCATTCCATTGGTTGCCTAAAAGAAAGACCAACCACGAACGAACAGACACATTTACATATTTATTGTATTTATGTGCAAATAATAAAAATAGGAAGTAAGTGTGATGCAATGAGAATTTATTTTAGCCATTAATACCTGAATTGAACCTGAAACATAAAAATACACTTATTATTGAATTGAAAAAAAAACTAACTCCTTTGTCAATGCGACGGCACTATAATATTCTATCAATTTAGTTTTATTGTAGTATGTGACATTTTGTTTGTGACGCATCAACTCGATGTTGCATCTACTGAATACGCTCACGTGCTCCGTAAAAGCAATTGTAGGCAAAAGACAAGAATAGCTCTTCTTTGAATGCTTTGAAAATAGTTGATATTATATTAATAATATTTTATATTCTGGTACTTTTCGTATTACAAAAACCATATATTAACTAAAAATACTAAAATGAAATAAAATTGAAAATAATCTGTTAAGTACCAATCACTATGTTGGAGAAAATATACCATTGTAATCTATATGTACATATAATAAAATTGTAACTAAACCGAATCTGTACATTAAATATTTTTTGGAAAATCTTATTGAAATAAACATTATTATCGATATGGAGGCCGAAACTATTGTTTTTAGAATTTTCGGCTGTCTGTCTATTTGTCTGTCTGTTACCACATCACAGAAAAACCACGGAAGAGATTTTGATGAAATTCGTGTCGACATATAGGATACTTTTTACCGCGGGAAATCTCATTTCTGAGAAAAAATACAAAAACTGTAATGTAAGAGTACACTAATATGTAAAACCTAAGAATTTCGTTTGTGGTCATCTGAACGTGGGCAGAGCCGCGGGCAATGCTAGTGTTAAATTATAAACAAAACTAGTATTTTAAATATTTTAATGATAACAGATAAATAAAAACTCGTGGCAGAAAGTCTTACCTGTCAAATCATATCGAATCGTATAGCTTCCAATCATAGACATTTCTCTACGTCTATGCTTCCAATATTCCGATATAGAGTATACCTACTCTTATATTCGGTCAACAGATTAAATATTAAATGAAAATATTACTGAATTAAAGTTAAATAATAAAAAATTAAGTATTATAAGATTAAAAGGCGTTCAGCAGACTCCTTAATAAGTACTTATAGAATTTTTAAATTAATTAATTAGTCTAATATTTAAAATATAATGATACCCGAGAATTAAAAATACAATAACCGATTATAGTTACAAACGTAGGTGTGTAAATTTTCATATTTCATCTTATAATATTTATTAAAATTGCTCATTAATTATTCTATATACCTATATAAAAAAATCGTGTATCTTGGAAACGGCTCTATTTGGATCAAGTTTTGTATTTAGATAAGATTTTGCTTTTCAAATCTATCTATATAGGTGTCTCTTTTAAAAAGTCGCAATTTTTATATCTATTCCGAAAAACACCGAGCGAATCTCGATTGCTCATGTACTGTAAATAATATAAATAATATTGACAAACATAACACTGGTCGAAAGATTGAGTTTGTCCAGTGCATTCGAAAAAATTTGCTGAGATGCATCATGCATAGCCGAGTGCGGTGAACTACCCACTGATACAGAATAAATATCCTGAGCTCTAC